ACCTCGGGCTCTGCCCCCGAGGGCCCCGTCTTCCACGTAGGCCGATCTGGGTATTGGCGTGGCAGAATGCTGCTCTTACTTTTTAACGCTGTGTTTTCAACTTTTTTTCAAACTGGATGTCCTTGGAAAGGGGGTTGTCTTCATCCAGCATCCTCAGCCGTCTCTTCTTCTTCTTCTTCACCCCATTTCCCAGTGACTTCTGGAGGCAACAAGGTCCAGAGCTTGTCACGAGGAGTTCACACTGAGTAGAATAATATGAATATATATAGAAACAATAATAGCGCGAGGTTTTGGAACATTCAACATTCGTGCCCAAAAACAATGAAGATGTTAGCAAAGTGTGTATAATTATTATTGCAGAATTCGGAGCTTTCTTAATTTTCAATTCAAAGCCTGTCTCCGTCCTATTATTTACTTTCCTCTCCATGCACTATCGTTGTTCATTTTCTGCTCTAATGGGATTAACCACAGACAACCCGATGCAGGTCCTAGAGTGTATACCTATAACACCTATTAAGAATTGCAACATTTTCCAAGCTCACAAAAAGGGTTTCTAGTACTATACTGTATTGAACAAAGATCTTGGTGTCAAATTCCTTTTAAAGTAACTGCGTTCCTGATTTATTATAAAAGTCTGAAATGAGAATCCAAATGTTTCGGACAAAGTAGAATAGAAAAGGAGAAGAAATAAAGCAATAAAATTTGTGGGTGGTAATATAAAAATAGAGAAGTGGGTTATGGATAGATGGGAAAGGGGGAGGGATCTGGCGAGACGAAGCTTCGCCGAACAGCGGGTGAAGGGGAGACCCACATTGTCGAACCTGGGAATCGACAGCACCGATTACGCTAGACGCAGAACTTGCGTAGAGATTGCGCCATCGAAACGCGCCATGACAAGCTGAGCGAGGAGGATCACCCATCGCCGCGACCAATTGGAATCTGGGGAATATGGATTCAGCATGTCGCAGCTCCCTGGTTTCCAGCTATACGTGCGGCGCACACGAGCGAGTCCGCAGAGATTCAAGCTGTGCGCAGTGTTAAACCTCCTCCTCCCTGCCTTACAATACCTGTGGTCCCCCATCTCACCCACTCGCTTTTGTCCCCAATTGCGTACAACAAGATTTATTGCACAGCCTCCTTGCAACGATGGTCGCAGAAATCTGTTACCGTGCGGCAGCCACGAGCAGGAAACCGTCACTCGCAGGCAGATGCCAGGGAATACAGAGCGCCAAGACAAAGCTGAGGCTCCAGCACAACTGTAGCGATTGCAAGCTCCCGTTCAGGACCCCAGGGCTCGGTTTTCAGTTTCGCGACGCGATGGCGGGCTCCGCTTGATTACAGGCTTTGTGTGGACGTCCAGCAAGTGGGGAGCGGGGGAGGGGGGGGGGGGTAAGCGGAGGGACCCAGACCATCGCCATTATGGGCGCATCCCTTGGGTCACTGTAAGAATAATGCGAAGCGGACGTACAGTCATAAATACTATTGGTCCTTTCCCGTGCCACCGAGCGCAATCTCCAAACTAATTGTTCTCCGTTTCAGAGCCTCCCCACACATGAATGCAACATACTTCATATTGTATGCCACTGCCGCAGATTTTGTACATGCTTCCTGTGGTATTCAGGCGGAAGAAGAATTCAGTTGTGAAAGGAGTGTGCCACGAGGACAAGAAACTCGTGTTAATTATTTCTCCCCTCCCCGCCCATCCGCCCCTAACACAGCCCTTTTGCGGGCCTCACACTCACATGAACTCTGGGGAGGCGCGAAGTATTTCTGGGGCATTGTTTGGAGTGCTCTGAAGCGTTGGCTCATCGTAGACATGACTGCAACGAACAGCGTTTTGCACTCCAGGTTAACATTTAAATGGACGAGGGCTACCGTGTAACTCTTCGCTGCTTCTCAGCCCTTTCGAACGTGGACCTGATAATCTGGTTTCGAAGGACAAAGCTTTTTGTGAACTCCCTTTTTCAAATCGTCAACGGATTTTCTTTTCACCTACATTCTTATCCCCGACTAGTACCACTCCTCAGTGATAGAAGGGAGCTTGTCTGCGGCTCCATCAGCGATGCTCTAATACTTCTGGAGCAAGTCTACAAGCCGATACCAGTACTAGGGAGACTATCGCCTTGGTTAACATGTCCACCCGGACTTATGCCACGAAGGACATGGGGATGTAGGCACTCCTCACATGTCCCTTCAGTGAAACCTTTGCAGCAAGTACTGCGGGGTTTGTCATGGCTTGGCGAGCACGCGAAGAAGCTCATCGCGCATCCCCTGACATGCTGCTCCGAGATGATGATGAATCCAACATGCATACAAGCTCACTCCGCATGCTCAGCATTTTCAGACCTTGGCTTGGCCAAAGCTGATTGAATAGTACTCGGCCAGCTTCGGAAGAATCGTTAGCTTGCTTTACTTGTTATTATTGTTATTCTCATGAGAATCATGAATGGAGCTTGCCACAAAGAAGAGCAAAATACCCATTAGCATTCACATGGACTTTTAAAGATTTTCCATCTCACTCTCTCTCTCTATATATCTCTAGCTAGCTATATATATATATATATATATATATGTATGTATATATACATTTCTCTATATATCTCTCGCTATATATATATATATATATGTATATATACATTTCTCTATATATCTCTCGCTATATATATATATGTATATATGTATGTATATATACATTCTTTTTTGAAAAGGAAGATTATTACCAATTATAAAGGAGATAAAACGATAGATTTGCTAGATTGTAGATAATGTACAATGCTTTATTTATAAAGTATGTGAATATAAACATGAATTAGAAATGATGTTGTGCATGATTTGATGTTAGGGTGTTTTGCACAATGTAGTGTAATGTTGTATGATCATTTTAAGTTTCAATTCTTCAATCCAATTCTGTGTGAAAAATACACTATAATTCAAGCATAGTATGATTGTGACAGAGTGTAACATGTATTATTGTTATTGTTACAACAAAAATCATCTGAAAAGAAGTTTTAAAATGTTCTGCGTGGACTAAATTTATTCATATATATATATATATATATATACATATACACACAAAAATTTAAAATTTCAATATAAATGAAAATCAATTTTCTTGTTATTGGAAAATGCAAGTGGGAAACTGTAGATCAAATGTCAAGTCAGGCATCGGTACTTGTGAGCCCTCGTGTGGAACATGTGGTTCGCAAAATCCCTTGTTTCTTCACCTTAATTTAGGCTTCTGTACCTTTTTTTTTTTCTGGTCAAGAGTGTTCGCAAAGGTAGTTGGGATGAATGGCATGAAATGCCGAAAGGAGCCGATTCTGCACAGCTCCTGGTGGTTAATTTCCCCTCGGTGGACCTCACACGGCGGACGGACCTGTGCAGCCGATGCTTGCGTTCTATGTGCCGATCTCAGGAAATTAAACATACACAATCACATGTGGACGCAAGCAGTGCTAAGTGAAATGAGTATGTTAAGTGATATCCTGGGATGGCGGTATAGAGGCCTGCGAGGCCCCCTTTGACTCGACTTCCTGCGGTTATTTCGGTTTTGATGCTGCAGCCCCACCATGGCCGCCCCAGCGTTGTATTCAGCAGCCTCCAGGATAAGAATATTCGATGCCATTGTTGTAAATATTTTAAAGATAATTCCCATCACAATAAAGATTACCACTAAGAGAATTGGAGGAAGGGGGAAAAAGATTGTGCGTATGTGTGTGTGTGTGCAGCTATATATATATATATATATATATATCTATCTATGCAAATAAATGTAAATGTAGTGAAAAAGAGTAGAGGTTAAACTGTGCAGACAGCGCTTTCACTTGTCTCTGGTATCGTTGGGAGGAACTGTGGGGATGGTGGCCCCATTGGCTTTGTCCCTCTTCCGGCTCCTCTTCCGATCCCGTCGACACAAAAGCCCATCGCTGATCCCATTTACGCAGTATCTCATCCAAACAAAGCCTGGCAGGCTCCGAATCAGGCAGCGCTCCGTATTTAGCTCTTAGGCTTGCTAGCGGCCGCTTTTTCGTATCAGTTCGACATGTGTTTGCCACAGCCTATCAGCTTATAGTAATGTCCTCTCCATTTCGGAAGCTTGTCGGAGAAGCTGGCTATCGTGGGCTAAGCTCGAGTCTTGACGAATCGCTGATGCTGTCGATGCTATTGGTTATATGTGAGAGGAGAGGGATTGGGTGTGGTTGCAGCTGATGTTAGACTGAGCGATTCTTGATGACATCATTGGATTCCTGATGAGTTTGCTGATATCCTGGTCGGAACGACTGCTCTTAGGTTACTTGCACTGCAAGCAAGAGATGCACCGGTAGCTCAATCTGTGTGCAAGGGTGACCTGTGTGGATATTTGCAAAAAATTGCAGTTGTAGATGGATTTGCGAGGCTGTAGTGGAATTGTAGGTTGAGGATGTGATCAAACGAGTTGCGAACTACTCAGTGCGGAGCTTTCGGTCGATCCTAGTGCACAGTCTCCACTTGGGCCCCTCCCCGCTGCAGTAGATTGCGTTTGGACTGCTGCTGACAGGGTGGGGGAGCAGGGAAGCGCACTGACTCCGCACGAAGCAATCAACACCGTGGACGTAGTTAGCTATCCAACGCAAGCATCTAGGATCACTCGTGGTTTTGTGTGCAAGGAACTACCAGAGAAGTTGCGACACAACCAGCGGTGCACGTTTCCTGCACTGAATACTGCTTTTAAGGTTTGCCCATTTGCCCTTTCTAGCACTCTACTCAAGTTTTTGAGTTTTCTGACCAGATCTCAAGCATTTTGATGCAACAGGTTTAATTCATATACCTACACACTTGTACTAAACCTCGCCATTTTCGGTTGCGGCGCTTTTAAATCTCGCACAGATCGGGGTTGTAAGTGGAATCATGCGCCACACCAATGATCTGAAATGTGCTGGGAGAGCCTGAAATGAACTCAAGTATCAAGTTGGTCCCATGCTAGCTTCAACCTCCAAGCAGTATACACAAATGGTGAATACTTGCGTCTAAACTAAATTTAGAGCCCCCTTGCTAGTTGACAGAACTGACGATTGAGCCGGAACAGCTGTTTGAAGGGAAGGTTTAAGCAGTTGTATCATGAGACAACTACTTTTTTCACCGGATGATTTTCTAAGGAAACCATACTTGAGAATCTAAAGGAACTCAGTGAAGGAAGAGTGTATATTCATCATGAACAAATAGTGAAGTACAACTGAAAGGGATTTCAAAGCGTAGTGTGTGCAATTAGTTTTCATGACTTAAACCGAACGTCCACAGAAAGAAACATAACACGTCAAGACCTTAATGACGTCGACGTTTTCGAGTGTTTCAATACTTAGTCAGGTTAACTCCTATAAATTTCTAACCAGTAAAGTCACTCGTCCGTTCTCTAGTTTTTCCCCGTTTGAATACTCTAGATCTTGAGTAAGGCGAATTCAGTTCTCCAGGACACCTGTCCCCCTCACTGTAGAGTGTTTCAAAGAGTCCGATTTCGTAGTCATGCCGGAATTGAATGGCATAATTATTCAGTTCATCGTTTAGAACATGAACCATCATCATGGGCAAGTGAGATGTTGATAGCAACTGTTGAGGTGATGGTGAAGTGGGTTCATGACGATCTAAATACTGGAGCCTCGTAGATGGATTGTGGGGTACGCGGCTAACTAGGTCCACTAATTAACCGAAGATGAAATCATAGATATTCTGGAACCCAGTTGATGACAAGCTAATCTGTTCGATGCATGCAGCGGACGATTGTTCGAAAAAGACCTTGCCTGCTGTTGGATTCGATATTAGACCCAGTCCACTGTCTTTGTCGAAGGTCATAAGATTTCTTATCGTTGTCATTGCGAAGGGTGAAGCTCATGAACTTCTCTGTTTTATTACCTATCTGATTAATTAATTTCCTTTGTGGTCAATAAATGTTAGTGAATTACAATCCAGACCAGTAATTATGTGCTAGCATTCAGTTTTAAATTGTATCTTTTCTATTGAATAGGGCAAGGCGATCTACTTAGCACGTCAATCTCTTTACATTTGGAGTCCTGCTTTCTGGAACAATCTTGGACTGTGTTAATATTTACTTTTATTTGGTGAGGCCGATTTTCTAAACCATGGAGTTCCAGCAAGTGCGTACTCTAGATCTTATGATGTATACCACTTAATGCATCCCGGTCTAGTTGCTGATGGTCTCCCTTTTTCCTTAAATACCTGTCCAGTGGACTAGTGTCAGTCTCGCTCGTGCTTCACCTCAGATGCGCCTTACCCAGGCGATCGGAGGCGCTGTCAGAGAGATGAAATGATCAGTTCAATACGAGTTTAATTACCAGTATGGTTGGTGCTTCCTGAATTAGAAATACCCAAAAATCGAGTTATTAATATATACTTAGTATGCTTCCAGTCTCAGTGCAGGTTGGATTGTCACCAGGGTGCGCGGGGGGGGAGGGGGGGGGGGGGGTACCTTGTACAGTTAGGTGGTGGTTGAAAGCACTTGATATAGAGTGTCTTCTCCCCAGCCAAGATTCTTATATGTGGCAGAGGAGTGAAAGCTCAAATTTGTCAAGACATCTTTGTCAGCCAGGTTGGTCTGGTGAAGCCATCTTCTAAGAGGTTTCCAGACCAACTACGATTCTTCGAACAAAGGACCCATCTGGTTGGACAAAGTTAATTGACCGTCTTTAAATCCTTCACTGTGGTTGTAAATCAGACTCAGTGATCAGACTCAGTGTTTTCTTAATAAACACACTTTCACAGAAATCGATACAGAGCTTCTCACTCTAATATCTTCCTGGTACGTGACAGATTTGAGAGGTACATTTCGCAATGAACAACAAAGCACCCATACCCGTGGGGTTCAGATTCCATCCTACTGACGAGGAGCTAGTCGGGTACTACTTGCACGGCAAGGTGGGGAGGTTTCAGCGAGACCAGCTCATTCAGGAGTTGGACCTTTACAAAATCGAGCCCTGGGACCTCCATGGTAAGCATCGGAATCCTGAAGGTAGTATGGTGCAGTGTTCAACCTCCTCATCTAGTTTCGTCAAAAAATAAACATTTAAAACAGTACTATCCATTGAATTGTGATCAACATAAGCTCAAGAGCATGTTCTCCTCATCTATTGATAGCATGAAATGGTCCAGCAGTATTGACAAAAACTTGTTGCACCGATCAGAAGTGTGCAGGATCGGGGACGACGCACCAGAGCATCAAAGTGACTGGTACTTCTTCAGCCACAAGGATAAGAAGTATCCCACAGGAAACCGTGCCAACCGCGCCACAACTGCTGGCTTCTGGAAGGCCACTGGGCGTGACAAGCCCATCCACACGCAGCGTCAGGTCATTGGAATGCGCAAGACACTGGTATTCTACAAGGGGCGCGCTCCTAATGGTCAAAAAACGGACTGGATCATGCACGAGTTTCGCCTGGATGATTGTCCTGGTGCCTCTCCAAATTACGTACGCGTCGTCCCTCCGTGCATTCATTCAGAACTCTCACAATGTTGTAGATTCTACTGGATGCTGTTTTGTCACCTTCTCTTGCAATGCAGTGCATGGTGTTCTTGGGCTTCTCAGTAAGATCACCGTGCGATTCATTCTGTACAGGAATCCGACGGGTGGGTAGTGTGTCGTGTGTTCCGGAAAATGAAGAATTTTAAAACAAAGAGTCAAGAGACGTCGTGCTCGTTAGAGGAAGACCAGGTGCTGTTGCCGGAGCTTATGAGCCATTCCGAGGGGGGTGGAGGGCCTAGCAGTCAAGGCGGCGAGGTCCAGTATAACCCCCATCTTCACCACTTCAGTTTCACGTGCAAGCAGGAGCTCAGTGTTGAAGACTACCGCACTCCAATCAGCAGTGACCCCTTCATGGAGAATCTCCACCTCCACGAGCTTCACAGGTCCATCGAGCCTAGCTGCCACCAAAATTACTTGCCGCCTTCGGTATCCTCCACTTTTCGGAGCCTGCAACCAGCGTGCACGAGCGGGAGATCATCACGGGACTACGCCGAGTACTCTTTGGTGCCATTCCCCCTCGAGTCGACTTCCCTGAGGGATTTCGACGATGCCAGATCGAGCGTCACTCAAGATGGCTCATCCTTAACTGCCTTGGCACATCACAACGACGCTGAATACTGGATGCTGGATGGAGGGATTAGCAAGGCTGGGGCGCGTCGCGACCAGACATTGGCGGCTGTAACGTACCATGTTGATCTCAAGAGTCGGCAGTCTTCGGACAATTCGTCGGCGTCGACGAACCATGAAGGTTTCGGTCATCTCTGGAATGTATAGCATCACAGGGACCTCAAGTGGTGAGTTTCTGGGCCATTAAGAAGGTTGTATTCTGGACGTCAACATAGGCGAAGCTTCATCAGCACATTATGAATAAGAGCCAGAGTTCAATTGCACACAACATTCAGCTGTCAAGAAGTGCAAGGTACCACATGAGCTGCAATTTTAGTCGTCAACAGGTTGTTGCCGAATGAAACAAGCCCGCATCTGCAGGAGACATTGCAGAGACATAGAACGACAATCCAGAAAATGAGATGGATCTCTGCACAAAGGGCCAAAACATTAGTATGACTTTGAGAAATGTTGGTGCTCCACGGTAGGCTGACAAACAAACAAACAAATAGAAAAAGGAAAAAAACAGAAGAGGGAAACATGAGAGAAAACGATTCGCCGTGAACATGTGCAATATTTGTGCCTGCTTGTTATTGTTGTCCTGAGATTATGTTGCAGCTCATACAAGCCAGATCTTGCCCGTAGTGCTGAAGGGACAGCGAAAATCCCCTATTTAGTACTCATGATACCATTATTATGATTTATGTTCGCTCTGAAGGAACGTTTCTTTTAAAAATCAGAGTTAAATCCTGTTACAAAATTGAAATCGTTATCAATAAACTTGTTGGCACACATGTGTATTCTACATTACGGTGATTGACTGATCTATCTGGAAGGATCTTTGGAAATGGATTTGTGTGATCCGACATCTAAACTTCAATCGTAGTGAATGAATCGTCAGTATTGTTTTCAGTCCTGCTTGGATCCCAGTGTCGTCTATGTGGAGCAAAACGAAAGGTAATCAATCAGTCACTGGAACCCAATCTCTAAGCTAACAAAAAATCAATAATCATAAATCTAGCTACTTGCGGGTCATCCGCACCACTTTCTGATGGCGAAATAATTATTTTAATAGCAATCTATAAAAAATATGAAAGATTACGCAGATCTGATTTAACGTTACCGTCGAATCAAGCGACAGCTATGTACAATACTTACACGACATCCTCCGACAGGGAAGGACTTGATCGATGCCAGAAGTTTAAGCGATATCCATGTAGAAGGACCGACTTTGATCAGAGGCATGATATTAAATCAGAGTTCAGCCGCGAGCTTATTACTCATGATAAACTGGTGTCGGTGCTGGCGATCATTTTTGGAGCATCGTAGGCAGAGGAGCCTTGGGCAGCACGAGGCAGTGGGGGGAAAGGATTCGACCAATCTGGAAGCATCTGAGATCACGGCACTTGCTTCGCAGTGGGAAACTGTAGGATGCATGAGGTGCAGCAAACGTGTCAGCTACGTCTGTACCTGCTGGAAAAACCAATCTTCTAGAAAACATATTTGAAGCTCCTTTTTTTGCCTTTAATTAAATCGGACGCCACCTAGCTGCCAGGGAATGATGTCTTTTGGGTCCTGTCAAGTGTAGGCCTGGCCACAAGCAAAGTACTGCTCAGTTTAGATTCATTGTGACCAGGCAGCTCCATTTTGTTAGTCTATCCGACATGATCCGGATCCTGTGTCATTCTATGCAAGCTGCTGGTCAGTGTTGTAGAAGTTCACGGCACACAACAAGCCCAGGCCTCGACGCCAATCAGCTTCTTGTGCCAACGATCGCCAGTTTCCAACCGAAGCCCTTTCTGCCAGTGCATGTATCTGATCGAAGCCGCATTTTGATATGGAAATATTTAGTCACGGATTTCTAGCCCCACAGAACAGTATCCTCAAAAGTTGGTCTGTTCCAATGCCATTACCGTTGGTGAAGATTAGTTCACGATGTGGAGCATATTCTTGTTACAATCGATGTTTGTTACTTCAACAATATTCCAGCACTCTGACCCGAGTTAAAAAAGTTAAATTTTTCCGACTAAGTGAGGCTGCTAATGTATGGTATTGCGCATTTCACGACGATGTACAGTATGCCCATGTCATGACCAACAGCTGGTGTGACGATTGACATTCCAAAAGCTTTAAGCTAAAGCGATCTTTGTACAATCCGCTGGAACACGACTCAAATCAGTCGTATACCTTACACTAATCCACCAGATTTTGCTAGATTTTCGGTTCAAGTCATGCGGAAGTGCCACCGAAACTCCGAAATTAATCTTATTGAGAGCCACGGTATCAAGATTTCTCTTGCTTTTCGGCAAGGGAGTGATGCACAAAAAACCTCTTGGTCTTTAAATTTCATGGCCCTAGTCAGGTGCAAAAGCAGGATTCGATTAGCAAATGTCAATCTGCTCCTGTTGGTGCAATGGCTGAGAATGGTGTGCAGACGACGATGATAAAGGCGCTTCAAAATAATGCCAGAAGAGCGAAGTTCTCGTGCTTTTCTAGGCCATAATGTGTGTTCGTCGGTGGCCATACCTTCTGAATAATTTTAGATTTAACGTTGAAGGAGTACAATCGTCGGCAGGAAATTTTTGGTGTGAGTGTGTTTGAACATGCGAATCAAATCCTCGACCCACAGAACAAACTCAACAGCGTAATTTATGTTGCTTCTTCATCGTGTCCAACATATAAGATGTCTCCTCGAATCTGGAGCTCATCATGTAACATCACCACAGCCCACCTCTCCCGATGGAACATGGACCGCTATGGAGTTTTAAACATAAATGAAATCTAGACGCACATATTGAGATCGGCTGAAAATTGAGTCACAGAAAACCCAAAGAGAAAACTACACCAGTTTGCCCCTAAGTCTTCAAGTAGCCACTCACATCAGCACCACTCGTCGAAGCACAACATTTCCACGAGCTGAACGACTGATATATGGGAATAACGATCGGAAGGGGGACACAAGCTTCCCATGAAGCAAGCTCCGCGGGAGGGCCGCAACATGCAGCCAGCTCGCACACCGGCGGAGCTCATGCGTCCTCACTGTGCACCAGATGAATCCAATGGCGTGCATTCCGCAAGAGGACTAAGCATCTGGCTGACTGCCAACTGTGTGATCCGCGTAGTCTGTAGCTTTTCATCAGTCTTCAATATTTGCACCGCTAGCCGGGGCGGCGAACGGTAGCGGCCCCATCAGCCCATCGAGTGGGACATTTTGACAAGTCTCCGTAACTCGCCCCGTTTGCTCGGGTTCTGGGTTTGACTCGGAGCCGCAACAACCTGATGTCCTAGATGAGCTTCGGGGAGAGCAATGCTGAGGTCACTGAGCTTTTTCAGTCCTAAATCACGAAAAGACGCTGCACATGCAACAAGTATTGTCGACGAGAGGTCCCAGCGCTGCTTGCCGTTCACTCCTCCCGGTGCAGGCCCACTCTTGCCCCGTCTCGAGGCGAGCTGCAACCCGAGTGCAGGCTTGGCTGGGTCTTCCTTCTTGAATCGGAAGCTCTGGATGGGCAGCAGCGCCATCGCATCTTCTCGGGTCTTCGACATGCCACTGGGTGTGGTGTGCATGCACCGACAGAGGAAATGCTGCGGGTGAGATTTGAATCACTCTCATATGCTTTGGTTGGGGTGTGCTTTAATGATTGATTTGTTTTGAAAGAGAATGTGTGGCTTCACCTGGGTGAAAGTGACCGACTGATTGGATGAGTGTATGTATGTATGTATGTATATATATATATATATATATATATATATTGTAAACATTCTATGGTTTTTTTGATTGATTTAAAAATAAAAATAAAAATCAATTTTAGTATTCAATACGGATAATTAATTTTTAATTAGATTACCAATAGGTGCTAAGGATTAGTTACTGCCGAATAGGTTGTTAAGGATCAATTAGTTGTTACAATTGAAAATCCTATATAATTGAGAAAAGTTTAGAAGGAAGACACACTCTAGTTTGAAGGATGTCACTAGCTAGGAGGTATTGGGAGATTTAGAAATAAAATCAGATTTTTTTTTTTTTTTTAAAACATTGTGTACTTGTGTGTTTGTGATATATCTTAATAGGAAATCCATACAATTAGCTATGAAGGCAGTTCTACAACCAATTAGGTTGATTTTATTAAGAAGGACAATTGTGTTAATTCTTTTGGAAGCATTCTTCTAAAGGGACAATCAGCAAGTCTCCTGTAGGCATTGTTTTACGGTCCTCTTGCCAATTGATATTATTGCAAACAATTGTTCTAAAAAATTATGTTTATTGCAAACAATTGTTCTAAAGAAAACAATTATGTTTACAGGATAAGTTTGGGAATCAATCTAAGTGGTTCCAAGTGATTATTTGAGAAGACTGCATGAAGCTGTGAAGAGATTATTTGAGTAAACTTTGCTATCTAATGGTTAGCTTGGTTGCCATTTTATAGCACCAAGTTGTTAGACTTTGACAAATAGAAAAACTAATTGGTAAGTAAAGTTCATTTTCTAATGGAAGTTGGGATCCCTCTAAATTGCAATTTATACCTATTAGTATGAGCAATAGGTTGTTTACAATTTAGATTTTTATGTATGAATTTAGGGGAAAAAAAAGAAGAAAGAAGATGTTGTGAGAAAGTATGTCAGTTTGTATCATTGCATCATTGTAAAGCTTCATAGTATTCCTCCATCAAATTATCTTCATTCAATTTCAGTATTATTACACCTTCAAAATTTTATATCATTGCACCAAATCAATGTTATAAATGTGACATCAAAAACATGTTGGCGGATGATGTAAGTTATGTTTTTCAAAAATTTGATCATTTCCATTGTTATTGGAATTGTGCACTTGAAGAGATAAAATATTAATGGAAGTCATGAGAACAGATTCACATTTTTGTTGTATCAAATCAACATTGCAAAAGGAACATTGAAAAATATGTTAGAAGGTATTGTGGATTTTGTTTATTTTCTAAATTGTTTATATGCTTAAGGCGTTCTTATGCAATGCTTTGAAGTCATCTTATATAAGCAAAGAAGAATGTATCAAATAAAGACTAAAAAAGTTGATTATTCTTTTTGCATTGCAAAATATTTGTTGTCTCAAATTTAATTTGATTGCAATGCTATTGCAACCAAGATACATCATAAATGATGGACAATCAAGCCAAAGTTTGCAATTATCAAACACGGTTACATGTAGAATTGACAAATGATTAATCTTCATTAAAAGCTCTAATTATTTGTAATACATAAAACTATTTAAAAATATATTAAGATTATAAATTCCATTATATGTGTTTGAGTATATAAACAACCTTGAATATGGAAAATATTAGATATAAATGTAGAATAACGAAGATGGTAAGGATTTAGAAGTTGGAATATGTCATGGCAGATTTTAGAGTGAAGGTTGAGGGTTGGTTCAAGAAGATTATATATTAGATGGAGGTAAAATTTAGATAGCGCATTATTGATGAGATAAATACTTATTTTGATAAAATTGAAGAAGCAAAGTTATATGATTTGATAGCAACAAAGTGCTTAAGTGAAGAAAGTTCATTAATCCTATAAGATAGAAGTACAAAGTTTGAAATTTTATTTCTTATTGATCATTTTGATTCTCTTCACCAAATCTAGGATTCTTTATAAATATAAATTAACTACATTCTTTTATGATTTATGTATTGTTGATATATATATATATATATATATATATATATAGAAGTATATTGGATGCTAAAAACCAAAATTTTCTTATCTTATTTATTTCTTATTTAAAATATCTTTGACAAGACCATCCTACTTTCATAGGATTAATAGAATTCAAA